GCACAGCTGATCCTATTAATCAGCAGTTCGGCTATTTCCGTGAAGATCAGCAATCCCAAAAAATATTTTCTCGCATTGAAATGGCAGATCAAACAGAACAGTATTGCAAAAAATGTACTTATGTGCAAGCTTGTGAAAAAAATGTTCATGTTCTCGTCATCTCCACATTTGCCATTATCATAAGCAAGGTTCTACACCAGGCCCATTCTACTAATCAGCTGTGCAAACTTTTAGGTGAAGATTAACAATCAGGAGAAGATTTTGTCACAGTGATATAGAACATGAAACCGAACAGTATAAAAAGAATAATTTTACTCAAGCTTGTGAAAAAAAGGCAATGTTTTCAGTCATCTCCACATTTGCAACTATGGCAAGCCAGTTTCTCGAGCAGGACATGGAACAGTTTTTCTATCTCCCTTTTACTGTGCGCCGTGATCGTATAGTGGTTAGTACTCTGCGTTGTGGTCATAGCAACCCCGGTTCGAATCCGGTCACGGCACTCGATGCTCTGAGTAGCGGCTCGATTCTCCGAGTGGACTGAAAAAGGGGGCCTGTTTTATCCACACTTTTTCTGCCGTACCTTCCACTTGTGCAAACACATGGTTTTGACTCACTCAGTTAAGCCTGAAGAAAAACTCTACATTATTATCAATACAGGTCAGTCCCAGCAATCCAGCACCTTGTCATGCTTTGTTTCAATACTAGTGTTACACAAATGATTCCACTGTAATTAGCACTTAAACTACTTGAAGGTCAAGGGATTCAGATACCTTGTCCTCACCAAGGCAGCCTTAATTTGACTCCTGATATGGGAAGGTGAGTTTTTGACTCAAGCACTTCAACAGTATGACAAACCTAAGCTTGTGGGCAGGACAGTCCAACCTTGTAGGTTTTCATTTTGGCCCTTATAAGGCTAAAAAGTTTGAAGTACGAGGCATGTCCATCAGGCCTCCATTCAGGATTGCCCAACTGTCGGCCGGGGCATAGACAGTCGGGCTTTTTCACTCTACATGTAGACGCTCTTTCCTTTAAACTTTTCAGCCAATAAAAGACTGGTCAATTTTTGGGACAGGCGTGTGGTCGAGTTGAAAGGAGAGAAAAATAAAAGATTGGAATGCGCTTATTGTTCCTGTGTTGATATGTTATCATGTGTCGTATTTTTCCTCTTGTTATTCTGATGTAGACTATTTGGACATCTTTCCCATATGGTCTAGCGGTAAGGATTCCTGGTTCTCACCCAGGCGGCCCGGGTTCAACTCCCGGTATGGGAATCGCTCACTTTAACTCTGTCAAATGCAATGATTTAGACATCTTTGGAGGTGCACTGCAGAGTGCTCCTCAGCATGCAAGTCCTTGTTCAGTATTGCTTCAAACCTAACGTGGCACAGCTGCTTCTACTAATCAGCTGTTCAAGCATTGACCTGAAGATAAAAAAATGGCCAGGAAATTTTCTCACAGTGACATAGCAGATAAAACAGAGGAGTATCACAAGGATGAACTTTTGTCCAAGCTTGTGAAAAAAGGGCATGTTCTTGTCTTTTGCACATTTGCGATGACAACCAGCAAATTTCTGCAGGGGGCAATGGAACAGTCATTCTATCCCATTTCACCAGTGTGGCCACAGCCATATAGTGCTTAGCATTCCGCTTTGTAGCCCCAGCTACCCCGTGCAAATCTGGGACAGGACAATTGATAGGCGCAAACCTCAGGGTTGCTGCTTCTTTCTCCCATGTTGACCAAAAAAAGGGGCTCATTGTCAACAGTTCAACTATATTTTCTACTGTACCTTCAAGAAAAAGAGAGAAAATAAAAGACTGAAATGTGCTATCGTTCTTGTGTTAACAAGTATTGTCGTGCATAGTATTCCAATTTTATCCCTCCAGAGTGCAGTGGGTAACTTTCCCATATGGTCTAGCGGTTAGGATTCCTGGTTTTCACCCAGGCGGCCCGGGTTCAACTCCCGGTATGGGGAATTTCTGATTTTGAACTCGTTGAATTGAGAAAACTTTGCCGTCCTCCAAGCTGCACTGCAGAGCTTTCCCGACCGCGTAATTCCTGAGTAACTTTTGCATCAAACCTAATGTGGCACAGCTGATCCTATTAATCAGCAGTTCGGCTATTTCCGTGAAGATCAGCAATCCCAAAAATATTTTCTCGCATTGAAATGGCAGATCAAACAGAACAGTATTGCAAAAATGTACTTATGTGCAAGCTTGTGAAAAAATGTTCATGTTCTCGTCATCTCCACATTTGCCATTATCATAAGCAAGGTTCTACACCAGGCCCATTCTACTAATCAGCTGTGCAAACTTTTAGGTGAAGATTAACAATCAGGAGAAGATTTTGTCACAGTGATATAGAACATGAAAACCTAACAGTATAAAAAGAATAATTTTACTCAAGCTTGTGAAAAAAAAGGCAATGTTTTCGTCATCTCCACATTTGCAACTATGGCAAGCCAGTTTCTCGAGCAGGACATGGAACAGTTTTTCTATCTCCCTTTTTACTGTGCGCCGTGATCGTATAGTGGTTAGTACTCTGCGTAGGTCGCAGCAACCCCGGGTTCGAATCCGGGTCACGGCACTCGATGCTCTGAGTAGCGGCTCGATTCTCCGAGTGGACTGAAAAGAGGGGGCCTCGTTTTATCCACACTTTTTCTGCCGTACCTTCCACTTGTGCAAACACATGGTTTTGACTCACTCAGTTCGCCTGAAGAAAACTCTACATTATTATCAATACAGGTCAGTCCCAGCAATCCAGCACCTTGTCATGCTTTTGTTTCAATACTAGTGTTACACAAATGATTCCACTGTAATTAGCACTTAAACTACTTGAAGGTCAAGGGATTCAGATACCTTGTCCTCACCAAGGCAGCCTTAATTTGACTCCTGATATGGGAAGGTGAGTTTTTGACTCAAGCACTTCAACAGTATGACAAACCTAAGCTTGTGGGCAGGACAGTCCAACCTTGTAGGTTTTCATTTTGGCCCTTATAAGGCTAAAAAGTTTGAAGTACGAGGCATGTCCATCAGGCCTCCATTCAGGATTGCCCAACTGTCGGCCGGGCATAGACAGTCGGGCTTTTTTTTCACTCTACATGTAGACGCTCTTTCCTTTAAACTTTTCAGCCAATAAAAGACTGGTCAATTTTTGGGACAGGCGTGTGGTCGAGTTGAAAGGAGAGAAAAATAAAAGATTGGAATGCGCTTATTGTTCCTGTGTTGATATGTTATCATGTGTCGTATTTTTCCTCTTGTTATTCTGATGTAGACTATTTGGACATCTTTCCCATATGGTCTAGCGGTAAGGATTCCTGGTTCTCACCCAGGCGGCCGGGTTCAACTCCCGGTATGGGAATCGCTCACTTTAACTCTGTCAAATGCAATGATTTAGACATCTTTGGAGGTGCACTGCAGAGTGCTCCTCAGCATGCAAGTCCTTGTTCAGTATTGCTTCAAACCTAACGTGGCACAGCTGCTTCTACTAATCAGCTGTTCAAGCATTGACCTGAAGATAAAAAATGGCCAGGAAATTTTCTCACAGTGACATAGCAGATAAAACAGAGGAGTATCACAAGGATGAACTTTTGTCCAAGCTTGTGAAAAAAGGGCAATGTTCTTGTCTTTTGCACATTTGCGATGACAACCAGCAAATTTCTGCAGGGGGCAATGGAACAGTCATTCTATCCCATTTCACCAGTGTGGCCACAGCCATATAGTGCTTAGCATCCGCTTTGTAGCCCCAGCTACCCCCGTGCAAATCTGGGACAGGACAATTGATAGGCGCAAACCTCAGGGTTGCTGCTTCTTTCTCCCATGTTGACAAAAAAGAAGGGGCTCATTGTCAACAGTTCAACTATATTTTCTACTGTACCTTCAAGAAAGAGAGAAAAAATAAAAGACTGAAATGTGCTATCGTTCTTGTGTTAACAAGTATTGTCGTGCATAGTATTCCAATTTTATTCCCTCCAGAGTGCAGTGGGTAACTTTCCCATATGGTCTAGCGGTTAGGATTCCTGGTTTTCACCCAGGCGGCCCGGGTTCAACTCCCGGTATGGGAATCTCTGATTTTGAACTCGTTGAATTGAGAAAACTTTGCCGTCCTCCAAGCTGCACTGCAGAGCTTTCCCGACCGCGTAATTCCTGAGTAACTTTTGCATCAAACCTAATGTGGCACAGCTGATCCTATTAATCAGCAGTTCGGCTATTTCCGTGAAGATCAGCAATCCCAAAAATATTTTCTCGCATTGAAATGGCAGATCAAACAGAACAGTATTGCAAAAATGTACTTATGTGCAAGCTTGTGAAAAAATGTTCATGTTCTCGTCATCTCCACATTTGCCATTATCATAAGCAAGGTTCTACACCAGGCCCATTCTACTAATCAGCTGTGCAAACTTTTAGGTGAAGATTAACAATCAGGAGAAGATTTTGTCACAGTGATATAGAACATGAAACCGAACAGTATAAAAAAGAATAATTTTACTCAAGCTTGTGAAAAAAAGGCAATGTTTTCGTCATCTCCACATTTGCAACTATGGCAAGCCAGTTTCTCGAGCAGGACATGGAACAGTTTTTCTATCTCCCTTTTACTGTGCGCCGTGATCGTATAGTGGTTAGTACTCTGCGTTGTGGTCGCAGCAACCCCGGTTCGAATCCGGGTCACGGCACTCGATGCTCTGAGTAGCGGCTCGATTCTCCCGAGTGGACTGAAAAGAGGGGCCTGCGTTTTATCCACACTTTTTCTGCCGTACCTTCCACTTGTGCAAACACATGGTTTTGACTCACTCAGTTCGCCTGAAGAAAACTCTACATTATTATCAATACAGGTCAGTCCCAGCAATCCAGCACCTTGTCATGCTTTGTTTCAATACTAGTGTTACACAAATGATTCCACTGTAATTAGCACTTAAACTACTTGAAGGTCAAGGGATTCAGATACCTTGTCCTCACCAAGGCAGCCTTAATTTGACTCCTGATATGGGAAGGTGAGTTTTTGACTCAAGCACTTCAACAGTATGACAAACCTAAGCTTGTGGGCAGGACAGTCCAACCTTGTAGGTTTTCATTTTGGCCCCTTATAAGGCTAAAAAGTTTGAAGTACGAGGCATGTCCATCAGGCCTCCATCTCAGGATTGCCCAACTGTCGGCCGGGGCATAGACAGTCGGGCTTTTTCACTCTACATGTAGACGCTCTTTCCTTTAAACTTTTCAGCCAATAAAAGACTGGTCAATTTTTGGGACAGGCGTGTGGTCGAGTTGAAAGGGAGAAAAATAAAAGATTGGAATGCGCTTATTGTTCCTGTGTTGATATGTTATCATGTGTCGTATTTTTCCTCTTGTTATTCTGATGTAGACTATTTGGACATCTTTCCCATATGGTCTAGCGGTAAGGATTCCTGGTTCTCACCCAGGCGGCCCGGGTTCAACTCCCGGTATGGGAATCGCTCACTTTAACTCTGTCAAATGCAATGATTTAGACATCTTTGGAGGTGCACTGCAGAGTGCTCCTCAGCATGCAAGTCCTTGTTCAGTATTGCTTCAAACCTAACGTGGCACAGCTGCTTCTACTAATCAGCTGTTCAAGCATTGACCTGAAGATAAAAAATGGCCAGGAAATTTTCTCACAGTGACATAGCAGATAAAACAGAGGAGTATCACAAGGATGAACTTTTGTCCAAGCTTGTGAAAAAAGGGCAATGTTCTTGTCTTTTGCACATTTGCGATGACAACCAGCAAATTTCTGCAGGGGGCAATGGAACAGTCATTCTATCCCATTTCACCAGTGTGGCCACAGCCATATAGTGCTTAGCATTCGCTTTGTAGCCCCAGCTACCCCGTGCAAATCTGGGACAGGACAATTGATAGGCGCAAACCTCAGGGTTGCTGCTTCTTTCTCCCATGTTGACCAAAAAGAAGGGGCTCATTGTCAACAGTTCAACTATATTTTCTACTGTACCTTCAAGAAAGAGAGAAAAATAAAAGACTGAAATGTGCTATCGTTCTTGTGTTAACAAGTATTGTCGTGCATAGTATTCCAATTTTATTCCCTCCAGAGTGCAGTGGGTAACTTTCCCATATGGTCTAGCGGTTAGGATTCCTGGTTTTCACCCAGGCGGCCCAGGTTCAACTCCCGGTATGGGAATCTCTGATTTTGAACTCGTTGAATTGAGAAAACTTTGCCGTCCTCCAAGCTGCACTGCAGAGCTTTCCCGACCGCGTAATTCCTGAGTAACTTTTGCATCAAACCTAATGTGGCACAGCTGATCCTATTAATCAGCAGTTCGGCTATTTCCGTGAAGATCAGCAATCCCAAAAATATTTTCTCGCATTGAAATGGCAGATCAAACAGAACAGTATTGCAAAAATGTACTTATGTGCAAGCTTGTGAAAAAATGTTCATGTTCTCGTCATCTCCACATTTGCCATTATCATAAGCAAGGTTCTACACCAGGCCCATTCTACTAATCAGCTGTGCAAACTTTTAGGTGAAGATTAACAATCAGGAGAAGATTTTGTCACAGTGATATAGAACATGAAACCGAACAGTATAAAAAGAATAATTTTACTCAAGCTTGTGAAAAAAGGCAATGTTTTCGTCATCTCCACATTTGCAACTATGGCAAGCCAGTTTCTCGAGCAGGACATGGAACAGTTTTTCTATCTCCCTTTTACTGTGCGCCGTGATCGTATAGTGGTTAGTACTCTGCGTTGTGGCCGCAGCAACCCCGGTTCGAATCCGGGTCACGGCACTCGATGCTCTGAGTAGCGGCTCGATTCTCCCGAGTGGACTGAAAAGAGGGGGGCTCGTTTTATCCACACTTTTTTTCTGCCGTACCTTCCACTTGTGCAAACACATGGTTTTGACTCACTCAGTTCGCCTGAAGAAAACTCTACATTATTATCAATACAGGTCAGTCCCAGCAATCCAGCACCTTGTCATGCTTTGTTTCAATACTAGTGTTACACAAATGATTCCACTGTAATTAGCACTTAAACTACTTGAAGGTCAAGGGATTCAGATACCTTGTCCTCACCAAGGCAGCCTTAATTTGACTCCTGATATGGGAAGGTGAGTTTTTGACTCAAGCACTTCAACAGTATGACAAACCTAAGCTTGTGGGCAGGACAGTCCAACCTTGTAGGTTTTCATTTTGGCCCTTATAAGGCTAAAAAGTTTGAAGTACGAGGCATGTCCATCAGGCCTCCATTCAGGATTGCCCAACTGTCGGCGGGGCATAGACAGTCGGGCTTTTTCACTCTACATGTAGACGCTCTTTCCTTTAAACTTTTCAGCCAATAAAAGACTGGTCAATTTTTGGGACAGGCGTGTGGTCGAGTTGAAAGGAGAGAAAAAAAAAAAGATTGGAATGCGCTTATTGTTCCTGTGTTGATATGTTATCATGTGTCGTATTTTTTTCCTCTTGTTATTCTGATGTAGACTATTTGGACATCTTTCCCATATGGTCTAGCGGTAAGGATTCCTGGTTCTCACCCAGGCGGCCCGGGTTCAACTCCCGGTATGGGAATCGCTCACTTTAACTCTGTCAAATGCAATGATTTAGACATCTTTGGAGGTGCACTGCAGAGTGCTCCTCAGCAGCATGCAAGTCCTTGTTCAGTATTGCTTCAAACCTAACGTGGCACAGCTGCTTCTACTAATCAGCTGTTCAAGCATTGACCTGAAGATAAAAAATGGCCAGGAAATTTTCTCACAGTGACATAGCAGATAAAACAGAGGAGTATCACAAGGATGAACTTTTGTCCAAGCTTGTGAAAAAAGGGCAATGTTCTTGTCTTTTGCACATTTGCGATGACAACCAGCAAATTTCTGCAGGGGGCAATGGAACAGTCATTCTATCCCATTTCACCAGTGTGGCCACAGCCATATAGTGCTTAGCATTCCGCTTTGTAGCCCCAGCTACCCCCGTGCAAATCTGGGACAGGACAATTGATAGGCGCAAACCTCAGGGTTGCTGCTTCTTTCTCCCATGTTGACCAAAAAGAAGGGGCTCATTGTCAACAGTTCAACTATATTTTCTACTGTACCTTCAAGAAAAGAGAGAAAAATAAAAGACTGAAATGTGCTATCGTTCTTGTGTTAACAAGTATTGTCGTGCATAGTATTCCAATTTTATTCCCTCCAGAGTGCAGTGGGTAACTTTCCCATATGGTCTAGCGGTTAGGATTCCTGGTTTTCACCCAGGCGGCCGGGTTCAACTCCCGGTATGGGAATCTCTGATTTTGAACTCGTTGAATTGAGAAAACTTTGCCGTCCTCCAAGCTGCACTGCAGAGCTTTCCCGACCGCGTAATTCCTGAGTAACTTTTGCATCAAACCTAATGTGGCACAGCTGATCCTATTAATCAGCAGTTCGGCTATTTCCGTGAAGATCAGCAATCCCAAAAATATTTTCTCGCATTGAAATGGCAGATCAAACAGAACAGTATTGCAAAAATGTACTTATGTGCAAGCTTGTGAAAAAAAATGTTCATGTTCTCGTCATCTCCACATTTGCCATTATCATAAGCAAGGTTCTACACCAGGCCCATTCTACTAATCAGCTGTGCAAACTTTTAGGTGAAGATTAACAATCAGGAGAAGATTTTGTCACAGTGATATAGAACATGAAACCGAACAGTATAAAAAGAATAATTTTACTCAAGCTTGTGAAAAAAAAGGCAATGTTTTCGTCATCTCCACATTTGCAACTATGGCAAGCCAGTTTCTCGAGCAGGACATGGAACAGTTTTTCTATCTCCCTTTTACTGTGCGCCGTGATCGTATAGTGGTTAGTACTCTGCGTTGTGGCCGAGCAACAACCCCGGTTCGAATCCGGGTCACGGCACTCGATGCTCTGAGTAGCGGCTCGATTCTCCCGAGTGGACTGAAAAAGAGGGGCTCGTTTTATCCACACTTTTTCTGCCGTACCTTCCACTTGTGCAAACACATGGTTTTGACTCACTCAGTTCGCCTGAAGAAAACTCTACATTATTATCAATACAGGTCAGTCCCAGCAATCCAGCACCTTGTCATGCTTTGTTTCAATACTAGTGTTACACAAATGATTCCACTGTAATTAGCACTTAAACTACTTGAAGGTCAAGGGATTCAGATACCTTGTCCTCACCAAGGCAGCAGCCTTAATTTGACTCCTGATATGGGAAGGTGAGTTTTTGACTCAAGCACTTCAACAGTATGACAAACCTAAGCTTGTGGGCAGGACAGTCCAACCTTGTAGGTTTTCATTTTGGCCCTTATAAGGCTAAAAAGTTTGAAGTACGAGGCATGTCCATCAGGCCTCCATTCAGGATTGCCCAACTGTCGGCCGGGGCATAGACAGTCGGGCTTTTTTCACTCTACATGTAGACGCTCTTTCCTTTAAACTTTTCAGCCAATAAAAAGACTGGTCAATTTTTGGGACAGGCGTGTGGTCGAGTTGAAAGGAGAGAAAAAAAAAAGATTGGAATGCGCTTATTGTTCCTGTGTTGATATGTTATCATGTGTCGTATTTTTCCTCTTGTTATTCTGATGTAGACTATTTGGACATCTTTCCCATATGGTCTAGCGGTAAGGATTCCTGGTTCTCACCCAGGCGGCCCGGGTTCAACTCCCGGTATGGGAATCGCTCACTTTAACTCTGTCAAATGCAATGATTTAGACATCTTTGGAGGTGCACTGCAGAGTGCTCCTCAGCATGCAAGTCCTTGTTCAGTATTGCTTCAAACCTAACGTGGCACAGCTGCTTCTACTAATCAGCTGTTCAAGCATTGACCTGAAGATAAAAAATGGCCAGGAAATTTTCTCACAGTGACATAGCAGATAAAACAGAGGAGTATCACAAGGATGAACTTTTGTCCAAGCTTGTGAAAAAAAGGGCAATGTTCTTGTCTTTTGCACATTTGCGATGACAACCAGCAAATTTCTGCAGGGGGGCAATGGAACAGTCATTCTATCCCATTTCACCAGTGTGGCCACAGCCATATAGTGCTTAGCATTCTGCTTTGTAGCCCCAGCTACCCCCGTGCAAATCTGGGACAGGACAATTGATAGGCGCAAACCTCAGGGTTGCTGCTTCTTTCTCCCATGTTGACCAAAAAGAAGGGGCTCATTGTCAACAGTTCAACTATATTTTCTACTGTACCTTCAAGAAAGAGAGAAAAATAAAAGACTGAAATGTGCTATCGTTCTTGTGTTAACAAGTATTATTGTCGTGCATAGTATTCCAATTTTATTCCTCCAGAGTGCAGTGGGTAACTTTCCCATATGGTCTAGCGGTTAGGATTCCTGGTTTTCACCCAGGCGGCCCGGGTTCAACTCCCGGTATGGGAATCTCTGATTTTGAACTCGTTGAATTGAGAAAACTTTGCCGTCCTCCAAGCTGCACTGCAGAGCTTTCCCGACCGCGTAATTCCTGAGTAACTTTTGCATCAAACCTAATGTGGCACAGCTGATCCTATTAATCAGCAGTTCGGCTATTTCCGTGAAGATCAGCAATCCCAAAAATATTTTCTCGCATTGAAATGGCAGATCAAACAGAACAGTATTGCAAAAATGTACTTATGTGCAAGCTTGTGAAAAAATGTTCATGTTCTCGTCATCTCCACATTTGCCATTATCATAAGCAAGGTTCTACACCAGGCCCATTCTACTAATCAGCTGTGCAAACTTTTAGGTGAAGATTAACAATCAGGAGAAGATTTTGTCACAGTGATATAGAACATGAAACCGAACAGTATAAAAAGAATAATTTTACTCAAGCTTGTGAAAAAAAGGCAATGTTTTCGTCATCTCCACATTTGCAACTATGGCAAGCCAGTTTCTCGAGCAGGACATGGAACAGTTTTTCTATCTCCCTTTTACTGTGCGCCGTGATCGTATAGTGGTTAGTACTCTGCGTTGTGGCCGCAGCAACCCCGGTTCGAATCCGGTCACGGCACTCGATGCTCTGAGTAGCGGCTCGATTCTCCCGAGTGGACTGAAAAGAGGGGGCTCGTTTTATCCACACTTTTTCTGCCGTACCTTCCACTTGTGCAAACACATGGTTTTGACTCACTCAGTTCGCCTGAAGAAAACTCTACATTATTATCAATACAGGTCAGTCCCAGCAATCCAGCACCTTGTCATGCTTTGTTTCAATACTAGTGTTACACAAATGATTCCACTGTAATTAGCACTTAAACTACTTGAAGGTCAAGGGATTCAGATACCTTGTCCTCACCAAGGCAGCCTTAATTTGACTCCTGATATGGGAAGGTGAGTTTTTGACTCAAGCACTTCAACAGTATGACAAACCTAAGCTTGTGGGCAGGACAGTCCAACCTTGTAGGTTTTCATTTTGGCCCTTATAAGGCTAAAAAGTTTGAAGTACGAGGCATGTCCATCAGGCCTCCATCTCAGGATTGCCCAACTGTCGGCGGGGCATAGACAGTCGGGCTTTTTTCACTCTACATGTAGACGCTCTTTCCTTTAAACTTTTCAGCCAATAAAAGACTGGTCAATTTTTGGGACAGGCGTGTGGTCGAGTTGAAAGGAGAGAAAAATAAAAGATTGGAATGCGCTTATTGTTCCTGTGTTGATATGTTATCATGTGTCGTATTTTTCCTCTTGTTATTCTGATGTAGACTATTTGGACATCTTTCCCATATGGTCTAGCGGTAAGGATTCCTGGTTCTCACCCAGGCGGCCCGGGTTCAACTCCGGTATGGGAATCGCTCACTTTAACTCTGTCAAATGCAATGATTTAGACATCTTTGGAGGTGCACTGCAGAGTGCTCCTCAGCATGCAAGTCCTTGTTCAGTATTGCTTCAAACCTAACGTGGCACAGCTGCTTCTACTAATCAGCTGTTCAAGCATTGACCTGAAGATAAAAAATGGCCAGGAAATTTTCTCACAGTGACATAGCAGATAAAACAGAGGAGTATCACAAGGATGAACTTTTGTCCAAGCTTGTGAAAAAAAAGGGCAATGTTCTTGTCTTTTGCACATTTGCGATGACAACCAGCAAATTTCTGCAGGGGGCAATGGAACAGTCATTCTATCCCATTTCACCAGTGTGGCCACAGCCATATAGTGCTTAGCATTCTGCTTTGTAGCCCCAGCTACCCCGTGCAAATCTGGGACAGGACAATTGATAGGCGCAAACCTCAGGGTTGCTGCTTCTTTCTCCATGTTGACCAAAAAGAAGGGGCTCATTGTCAACAGTTCAACTATATTTTCTACTGTACCTTCAAGAAAGAGAGAAAAATAAAAGACTGAAATGTGCTATCGTTCTTGTGTTAACAAGTATTGTCGTGCATAGTATTCCAATTTTATTCCCTCCAGAGTGCAGTGGGTAACTTTCCCATATGGTCTAGCGGTTAGGATTCCTGGTTTTCACCCAGGCGGCCCGGGTTCAACTCCCGGTATGGGAATTTCTGATTTTGAACTCGTTGAATTGAGAAAACTTTGCCGTCCTCCAAGCTGCACTGCAGAGCTTTCCCGACCGCGTAATTCCTGAGTAACTTTTGCATCAAACCTAATGTGGCACAGCTGATCCTATTAATCAGCAGTTCGGCTATTTCCGTGAAGATCAGCAATCCCAAAAATATTTTCTCGCATTGAAATGGCAGATCAAACAGAACAGTATTGCAAAAATGTACTTATGTGAAAAAAAAAAAATGTTCATGTTCTCGTCATCTCCACATTTGCCATTATCATAAGCAAGGTTCTACACCAGGCCCATTCTACTAATCAGCTGTGCAAACTTTTAGGTGAAGATTAACAATCAGGAGAAGATTTTGTCACAGTGATATAGAACATGAAACCGAACAGTATAAAAAGAATAATTTTACTCAAGCTTGTGAAAAAAAGGCAATGTTTTCGTCATCTCCACATTTGCAACTATGGCAAGCCAGTTTCTCGAGCAGGACATGGAACAGTTTTTCTATCTCCCTTTTACTGTGCGCCGTGATCGTATAGTGGTTAGTACTCTGCGTTGTAGGGCGCAGCAACCCCGGTTCGAATCCGGGTCACGGCACTCGATGCTCTGAGTAGCGGCTCGATTCTCCCGAGTGGACTGAAAAGAGGGGGCTCGTTTTATCCACACTTTTTCTGCCGTACCTTCCACTTGTGCAAACACATGGTTTTGACTCACTCAGTTCGCCTGAAGAAAAACTCTACATTATTATCAATACAGGTCAGTCCCAGCAATCCAGCACCTTGTCATGCTTTGTTTCAATACTAGTGTTACACAAATGATTCCACTGTAATTAGCACTTAAACTACTTGAAGGTCAAGGGATTCAGATACCTTGTCCTCACCAAGGCAGCCTTAATTTGACTCCTGATATGGGAAGGTGAGTTTTTGACTCAAGCACTTCAACAGTATGACAAACCTAAGCTTGTGGGCAGGACAGTCCAACCTTGTAGGTTTTCATTTTGGCCCTTATAAGGCTAAAAAGTTTGAAGTACGAGGCATGTCCATCAGGCCTCCATCTCAGGATTGCCCAACTGTCGGCCGGGGCATAGACAGTCGGGCTTTTTCACTCTACATGTAGACGCTCTTTCCTTTAAACTTTTCAGCCAATAAAAGACTGGTCAATTTTTGGGACAGGCGTGTGGTCGAGTTGAAAGGAGAGAAAAATAAAAGATTGGAATGCGCTTATTGTTCCTGTGTTGATATGTTATCATGTGTCGTATTTTTCCTCTTGTTATTCTGATGTAGACTATTTGGACATCTTTCCCATATGGTCTAGCGGTAAGGATTCCTGGTTCTCACCCAGGCGGCCCGGGTTCAACTCCCGGTATGGGAATCGCTCACTTTAACTCTGTCAAATGCAATGATTTAGACATCTTTGGAGGTGCACT